TGTATTCGATGAATGTGGAACTGTGTCCTGTAGGCTGCTGCACAGCTGGGGGAACAACGTCTTCCCTGAATCCTTACAAGACTTCAAGCTAGTAAATTAGCACATTTATTTCCTTTTAATAAATCCTCTGCTTCATGTACCCAGGGGCTCCTTCAGGGACATCCATCATCAACATTCTCATTTTCCTTCACTGTTACACTTCTTGACCCTATTTATTCTGTTATCGTTTCAATTCTTCTTGGTCTTACCAGCAGACCCTTATATACTGCTCTGCCTGCCTCCTATGGAAGACCACTTTATTATGTTTGCTTTATTTGAATCACTGAAGAAAGTCCTTTTTAATTGCTGCCATCTGATCTTTGTCCTGGAGAAACAAAATTTCTTTTTAAAAGAAATGATCTCTGCAGCCTTACCCAGCTATCAAATATTACTATCGACTATCTTATCAGACCGTGTAATGATGCCAGTTCTACCTGCTTCTTTAACTAGTTAAAGATTACCACTAAGTCTAGTCTAGTTTATAAGAGACAAAGGCAAAAGTAAAATGCATGATCTCCTTGCTCTGGGTACAATTCTTTCAGCAATCTGAAAGAGTGCATTGTTGATATAGGAAGGTTAATGCCGTACTCCCTTTTTTTATCGTCTGTTTTTTTCCTATCAAATCTGTGCCTTATCTCATGTCTGCTTTATCACATCTGCTTGAGTAAGCTACATAATTGAAGCCTCTTCCAAATTTAATTTCCCCTCCTTGGAAGTCCTACTACTATTAAAAAATAAATCCTTTTACAAAGTCTATTTTAGGCAAGGAGCACAGCCAAGTTCAGGTATTAACAACTCAGCAACTATGCCCTTGAACACACAACTCATCTTCAAATTGATCAGAAACCTAAAAAAAAAAGAGCATTTTAAGATAATATGCCTGTTCCTCATTTCTTTTCTTCAGTGAAAGGAAAATATGTTGGTACAAATTTCCTTTAAATTGGCTGTTGGCTTTTCTTAACAGTAAACTTAGTGAAATAAAATAATTGAGTTCACTACGCAGACTTTTGGCATTCAAAGACCTTGCTCATGAAGGGAGAGCTATCAGCAGCCCTCTAGATTATCAAAAAATATGTTTTGAAGTTTTCTCTGCACAAACCCTAGTGTGGCAAAAAGCTGATATTACACAGCTTGTGTCCAAAACTGCCAAGATGCTGCTCAATGAACTTCCACTTGTTTCCAGTGTTCTTAAGTTCCTTCCTTTCACCTTTGTTTCCACCTGTTCTCTGTGTGTCTGTAACACCAAGCCCCTTGCTCCCCAAGCACCTGCTTTGCTGAATCTTAAATTCTTATGTTCTCTTTGTGTATATTTTGCACTGCAAGATGAGTGTATTCTTCTTGTTATGGAACTATATACCTCCTCATAGCTGTCTGAGTAATAGGACAAGGAAGACTTCTGAATCATAGAATAGTTAAGGTTGGAGAGGACCTTAAGATCTTCTAGTTCCAAACCCCCTGCCATGGGCAGGGACACCTCACACTAAACCATGTCACCCAAGGCTCTGTCCAACCTGGCCTTGAACACTGCCAGGGATGGAGCATTCACAATCTCCCTGGGCAACCCATTCCAGTGCCTCACCACCCTAACAGGAAAGAGCTTCTTTCTTATATCCAATCTAAATTTCCCCTGTTTAAGTTTGAACCCATTACTCCTTGTCCCATCACTACAGTCCCTAATGAAAAGTACCTCTCCAGCATCCTTATAGGCCCCCTTCAGATACTGGAAGGCTGCTATGAGGTCTCCACGCAGCCTTCTCTTCTCCAGGCTGAACAGCCCCAGCTTCCTCATCCTGTCTTCATACAGGAGGTGCTCCAGTCCCCTGATCATCCTCGTGGCCTCCTCTGGACTTGTTCCAACAGTTCCATGTCCTTTTTATGTTGAGGACACCAGAACTGTACACAGTACTCCCTCTCTCACAAGAGCAGAGGGGCAGAATCACCTCCACCTTCTGAAGGGCTGTTAGCTTTCCTTTTGTGCGTCCCTTTGAAGTTTCCAAGCACCTTTCACTGCTTCCGGTCTGTTTTGGCAATTATTCCTGAATTTCTTCATTAAAAACAAGGCAAGCTTTCCTATGTTTTTCTTTAAAACATCAATGCCATTATTGCAGCTTTGCTCTTGATGCTAGGAAGTTCCTCCATTTGTTTTCTCATTTATACTTATTGTGCAAGTACCTTCTCTAGTGGTTTTTCCCCCTTTTCTTCTCATGTACTTCACCTGACACTTTTTTCAGTACAATTCTCTGTTCTGTTCTCCTGAGTGTTACTGTAATTTTCTTGTCTCTGAACACATAAGGAGTATAAAACTCATGGAAAACTACAGCTGTAGGCACTGAATGGGAGTTCTAGGCTTTGGGAGTTGCAGAATTTATTCATAATTAAATGTTTAAGCTGGTAATGATGAAATTAGGAATAAATGAGTAGGTCTGTTAGGAAACCTGAGAAGAGAGAATGCAGAAATCTTGTGTTTACCAAGTATGTTGCTGGAGCTTTAAGTTCCAGATTGGTTTCTACCTTAAGCATTTCCAGGCAACATTATTTCTAACTCTGTTTCTCTGAATTCTGTTTTCTGTATTGCCTTATTGATGTTTTCCCTCCCATCCTAAAGAGTGTCTTTGGCTCTTGATAATTGTTTTACATGGCAATTTGACCTTCCAAGTGCATAATTTCCTTATCACCAGAAGCAAAGATTCTGAGTCATATGTCATGGCTTTAGACAGGAGGCCAGTACCTTGTTGTCAGCATTGGTGTACGGTTTACTTTTATTCATCTTTATGTTGTATTTGATGTACTTGATTTTAAAAGCCTTCCCTCCCTTTACACTCTTAATTTCACAAAAGAGTTAAAACTTGTTAAGGTGATACAAGAAAGAAAATAAAAGGATATACCATTTTCTAGTTAAGGCAAGAGGTTGGATTACTGTACCATCTCAGTGCACTTCCCTACTAATCTCTGATAGTGGGCTTTTAATAAGGGGAGCAGGCAAGACACGTGAAGAACAAAAGGCATAGCCATTGCCTTAGTGTCTTTTCTAAGCTGTCCCAGTGCTTGTCCTGTCAACGGTTTTGAGGGCAGACTCGGAGAGCTGGTGTCCCTGTCAGAAAAATAATGCTTTCCCTTAACTTGCATGTTCTGGGAGATATCAAAAGCTAGCAGTGCTCAGCTTCCATGCTGCATCTTTAACTTGTATTTCTCTTAACACCCTGTTTTTCTTAGTGGTGGATGTGAACTCCTTGGAGGTCTACTCTAGATCCATGGCCCAAAAGGGCATCCATCGGTGTTAGTCCCATCGTATTTGGGCAGGAAGAGGCAGATCTGTATGGCTACCAAAGCACTAAGACACCTGAGTTTACAATCATTGGAGAAAACAGGCTCCAAGGTATTTGATGTTTCTCTTTGGCCTGCCAGGACCTATTATGCCAGTATGTGTTATTGAAATGGATCCTACCAAGGTTCGGCAGCTCATCAGCCCTGTCCTTGGCACTCTCCAGTGGTGTAATTGCTGTATAAAAATATGTGCAATGTTCCCACTGCACCAGTTATGAATGTTTTTACAAGGAGTTTCTAACGCTGTGAAAGTGTTTTTGAAATGAAGTAACTTCTGCTGGAACCTCTTGCAGGCTCTGAATATGGGGGTCTAAATGTTTTATATTAACCGTTAAAGACACTCCTAGGGACTCTCTTACAGAAACCCTCTTTTTCAGCACAAAAGCCAATCCAAGCCAGTAGTTTGTTTAACACCCCCCGCCACGAAAAAAAATAACAACAACAAAAAAAAAAAAAACAAAAAAAAAAGGAGTATATGCTCTGATAATATATGCTTTAGAATAACAAAATGAAGAGGGAAATTTAGTAGAATTAACTGTACCATTCACTCATGGATTAAAAATAAAACGAACTGTTCTGGTATATAGCAAAGCTAATGCCGCCTTTTCACAAGAGATTCTGTAACTTTCAACATGCAGCAGCTTTAAGTGCACTGTGCCTTTTTCATGTCTGACCCATCTTCATTACATTCCTTTGAGCAGGCTGGATGTTTGTGTCAGCTCTCAAAGCTGACAACTCTTGCCCTGCTGAAAAACTCAAAGGAGTCAAAAAAAAAATAAAAAGTATTTTAACTTTTGATCCCCATCCCTCCTTGACAGAAAAAGTGAACTTTTAGCCATTACAGAAACTGGAGCAGATAGTCTAGACATTAATACAAATGACAGGAATCAGGGAACCCTGGTATATGCCCTGGCTTGTAAGAAATGGGCTCTGCCTTTCAGTGACATAAACCAAGTCTTTTAATGGCTGTAATGTTGTTACTGCTGATTGAATCCTCCTTTGGAGAAAACTGCACCACCCTCTTTGAATGCCTTCAATATTTCAAACTCCAACTAAGACAAAGACGAATGCAGGAGTTTTGAGGAAGGAATACTTTTAAAATTCCATCCTTGGCCTATTATTAAAGAATTCCTACTACTGGAATTATCTGGAAGACCACCTCTGAAACTGTAGTCTTTGTTCACTATCATACGTTGTTCTTTCTGGGCTTTAAGATTATTTGAGGTTCTTTGCTGTTGGGGTGGGGTTTGGGGGGTTTATTTACTTTTTTTTCCTTCACTGAGATCCAGCCTTTCTATGCAGACAGACCATGTTTATTTTCACTGAGGTACCAGACATTAAATATGTACAACATATCTGGGAGAACAGAGACAAACCCGGTATCCACACAATGAACAAGTATAAAAGATTTATTGTAAACAAAATGTGTTTTGCTTACAAAACAATGTGTTTCGTTCACAAAGCAACAGTGAGGGGAAAAAGGCTTCCATTTTTTAAAAACCACCACGTGCCTTTATAAAATGTAAAAACCACCCAATCTACTCTGTTGAGCTTGTTTCCAGACACAGTAGCAGATCACAAAGAGCCCACTCAAGCCAGTTATGTAACTGGCTTTGATTTTTTTTTTTTTTTTTTTTTCCTTGCAGAGTGAAGCTCCAATCTCTGAGGTTTAATGTTGGCTTTTTTTTTATCTATTTTTTTTAATATCTTTGATGTAGAAAGGTAAAAAAAGACCAAACAAAATGGAAACAACTCTGTAGCAGCACGAGGCCTGCCTCCGCTAGCTCCTCAAGGCCTCAGTGTGTGAACCCTAGCACTGCGGTCCCCACCAGCCACTGAAACTGCTCCTTCTTCTTTACCAAGGCCATAAAAACCAGGAATGGGCTGTTCCTCCAGGTGGTCAAACTCATTAAGGCGAAAGTGAGTTGCCAGTTTGTTCACCATTCTTTTCAGGGTGACAAAGGCTGCAATGACTTGGAATGTGAGGAAGACAGCAAAGATGCTATTCACTGCTCGCTCAAGTGGCTGAATTTTTAGACCTTCGTTAAATAGCAAGAACAGAATCATAGGCAACTGCAGGAGGAGAGTCAGGAGCCAAAACCCAGCCAGCTCAGGGACCTATAACAGGGAGATATCATCTATTAAAAAACTCCAAAAATTAAACTCCAAAATTAAGCTCTACTTCACACATTAATGTGTACATGAAGTAACATACTTTCTCCTGCAGATTGCCCATGTATCCCAGGTAGAGTCGAATGACCTCTATTAATGAGGTCAGGATCATGATCGTGACCAAGATGAATTTGTAGTAATCCGACAAGACTGGATACTAGAGTGAAGAAGAGAGTAAAAGTTTCTGCTATGCTGTTTAACATGCTGTTTGTGGTTAAATGAAGATACCATTTGCTACTCTAAGCTGATAGTGTTGTATTCACTTTCAAATACACTTGAACCTCCAGTTCTAAGGAATTCCCAAATAAACCCAATAACCTCTAACTACAGTGAGTTCAACTACAGTGAGTTCTACTTCAGTACTAGGAGGTGTCTGAGCACAAACACAGTACACGTGTAAACCATTTCCTTCAGGACTCACCTTCAGATGGAGCATGACAACTATGCTGAGCCACCAAAATGGGAAAAAATAAACGTTGAAATAGAGGGACATCTGCAATGGTAAACTGGAAACTACTTCATTGTCTGTAGATAAAGAGAGGTCTTTATCACTCCTAGTTTGTTCCATACTCCCATAAATATAACAGAATTCACCTTAGCTTCAAGCAGGGCATTAACATTCTCCCAACTAAACATTAAGAAAAATATTTTTATCCAGAGGAAAACTTCTTACCCTACCTTGAGTTACACCATCTCCTGGAATCTAATGCAAACTTTCAGTTCACAGGACAGAGAATTTTTATCACATAGTCATATATTCAAGATGAGTGTCTGACTGCTGATCACCTGTTATAGCTTGTGGCTTACTCCATAAACTCTGAGTGGTAGTCTTAGCTCAAGTAGTGCTATATACTGACATTTCAGAAAGAATTAAGTGGTTATTTCATTGCTGTTCCTCAGAGAACAAAGTTTAAATGATACAAAATACTAGATGATCATTATTTTGTAGAGGATCCTCTTGAGTAAGGACTTAACTGCTAGAGAGCGGGTTTACACTGCCTACTCCATTTTCAATCTTTATTTAAATAGACATTTGGATATTGCAAGAACCCAGTAATTCTTCTAGTTCTTAACAGCTAACAATTTCAAATATGTGCCAAACTAAAACCTATCCTTTAAAGTCAGGACAGAACAAAATGCATTCATACTATGTAGAGAAAAGGAAATATTTAACTCTAACATGCAGGCACTAAATTCTACATTTAGGATTTCATAACACACATACAAGATTAAACTTAAAACAAGGAAAAATTTAAAAGGGCATTCTAAGGGAATAATTCATTTTTAATGGGTGAAGTTTCATTGCTGTATTCTATTCAACTGACGATGTATCCACTTTACTTCAATTACCAAGTTCCCTTCCTTATGTTTTCCCCAAAAGAAGCCTGTAGGCACATGTGGTACTATCTGAGCAAGTTTAGAAAGTATTCATTGTGACTTGCTGATTTGTATTCAAGTCCTACGTCCCTGTCTGTCACAATGGTGATACTTGATTGAAATCTGTCTGAACAGTCATGTTGTCTCAGTCCCAGCTTTGGAACCACTGCCTTCTCTTTCCGTATCGTCCAACCACCTTCATACCTGTCTTTGTTCCATCTCAGTCTGGCATCCCTGTTTCCAATCCAGCCACATGCAGCCTGGTACACTCTGTTCCAGAAGTCTTTATGCCAGTTGCAGAAGTATTCATGGTATCTACTAGACTACATGGGAAGGGAGGAGGATTTGGGAACAGAACTGGGACAGACCTTAAGGGTAGGGTGTGAGGGGCAGGGAATTGTTATACTGAAATAGAAGGTGTAAGACAACCAATATATATATATATAATAATCCCATTTTTAAACATCAGCACTTTTGTACATCTGTAAAGGAATGAAATTCTACAGGTACTTCAGTTTCACTGTCTACCTAAAATTGTCCCAGCTGCCCTAATGAATGAATCTCTTTAACACCAGGAGAGCTTTGAGGAGCACCAGCATACAATTCTAAAATGCTGTTTTACCTTTCAAACAAACATGACCATCCAATTACCAGTACCTATGTGTCTGCCCTGTATGTACTCGATGAAAATTTAATGGTTCATGGCGGTATTACTTAAAAGCAGAAAATCCAAGAGCTCCAATTTCAATTGTGATGACCATGCCTTAGGTATGTTAAAGGTTTCACTGACATAGGATGTGTATTTGTAACTTCTGCTCAAGTTCTACAACTGTGCTTTGGATGACTCCTTAGCAATACAAACCAACCCTAATTCATCTTTCTATCCCTAAATTGAACTAATGTTATCTTCTGGGCTTGCTAAAATTAATGGAAAAGTCAGACAGTATTGTGATGGCCAATTCTTTGATGCTAGAGCAACTCACTGATGTATACATGTGTAAACTTAACTTTTGAAATCCTGATCTCCAACAGTTAATGGTACATTTGCAATTGGCTTCTGAGAGCTGGATATTCACTTAGGAGTTTTCATAACAGGAAATGGAAATGACTAAAAGTTAATCCTGTAGTTAATAACAGTATTTCAGTGTTGTTTGATAAATGAAGAATTACTAACAATTCTCAGCAGTATAACTACATAAAGGAAATGAGTGCTCCTGTCTTGAGAATGGCTTTTTGGTTATTTTTATCATCTTGGAATGGATTTACCAGTTGAAATGAATATAGCCTTTTTATATAGACAGACCGTGTTTCTTTTCATGGCTACTCTTAGTCCAAAGGTATGAAAAGGGGGCATTGTTGGCTTGCAAGTTTCACTGGCAGTATGATGAAGGAATGGCTATAGGTAATTCTGACAGACTTGGAAAAACAAAGAGAAAGCTGGCATATCATGAGCCTGAGTTTTCGCTACCCAACTCTAGCTTTGCACACCTCGTTGTGCTCTTTATTCTGTGTTCTCTGTCACTATGTTTTTTTTACTCGGGCACAGGCAGAGTGCCTGGTGTGTGAGTAATGGATTTTACCTGCAATGCTCTATGCAAACTTGCTTACTAAGCTGTGACGGTGGGTGCAGAGTGTCCCCGGTTTTAAATCACTCCTGTTCCCTGTGTAACACTTTTAGGAAGCCTCTCTCAGGCCTGCACCACCACACACGTGTTAGAGCAGTTTCATCGCAGGCAGCATCACGCCGCCACACTACATGACTGGCGGCGAAACCAGGCCCTATCGATAAGGCGTTTCACGGCTGGGCTGGCACGTGGGTACCGGGGTTACTCTGAGGCCCCTCCCGGGACCCTGGATCTGGAGCGCAGGGGCGGGGCTCCGTGAACGGGAACCTCCGCCTTCCTGCCGGGGCGGAACGGGAGACAACCGAGACCCCGTCACCGTGGTACCTCACTGCCCCCGAGGCCCTGCCCCAGCCCGAGGCCCCGCCCTTACGACCGCGAGGTGCCTCTTGGCGCCGCCATCTTTCTTGCCGGGACGCTCCCCCCGCCCCAGCCGCGCCCGCCGCCATTTTTGTCGCGGGCAAGGCGCCGCCGCGCGTTACCTGCGCCGTCTCCCGGGTCCCTCGGGGCCGTGCGCTGGCTGTCGGTGAAGACGGTGCGGCTGAAGGAGCCCAGCCGCCGCCTCAAGGGCTCGGGCAGCGACATGCTGCGGCAACGCGGCCAGCCGTTGCTGTGGCGACAGGGCGCGCAGGCGCGGTGGGGAGGAGAGGTGCCGGCGGGTTGCCGCCAGCCGCTGTGGGTCCTCTCAGGGGGTCTGGGTCGGGGCTTCTCCTGAGGGGCGGAGAGCGGTGCCTCGGCCACGGGGACGGTGTTACAGTGGAGCCTGGTGGGAGAGGTGCCGAGCCCAGAAGTTTATAATTGCTGGTGTGATGTAAAAACATGTTTATGTGTGGTGTGTGTGCGAGAGCAGTCACTGCTGCCGCCTCGGTGTGTGCTTGGACACGCGTAGAAGTGCGTTCTTGCTTGCTTCTGTAACGTAGATAGAATCATAGAATGGTTTGGATTGGAAGGACCTAAAGATCATCCAGTTCCAGCCCCCTTGCCATGCGCAAGGACACCTTCCACTAGACCAGGTAGCTCCAAGCTGCATCCAGCCTGGCCTTGAACACTGCCAGGGATGGGGCAGCCACAGCTTCTTTGGGCAACCTGTGCCAGTGTCTCACCACCCTCACAGTGAAGAACTTCTTCCTTATATCGAACTTAAATCTAGCCTGCTTAAGTTTAAACCCATCAACCCTTGTCCTATCGCTGCAGTCCTTGATGAAGTATTTCTTTCTGGCATCCTTGTAGGCCCCCTTCAGACACTAGAAGGCTGCTATGAGGTCTCCACGCAGCCTTCTCTTCTCCAGGCTGAGCAGCCCCCATTTTCTGTGTGTGCATGGAGAACATTTTTGCTTGTCCCTGTGCAAATGAGGTGCTTTCTTGCCTGATTGGGACTGGCCATGATCGCTGACAATGAAAGCAGTGCCCAGCAGGGAGGTCACCCTGCGAAGGTGGTGGCACAGTCAGCAGTGAGTCTGGTGTGTTTCTCAGAACAGCATTTTTTTTGCCTCAGAAGTGCTGGTACATTCCAGCCCTGAGCATCTTCCCTCAGCTCTATTATCATTTTGGTTCCCTTCTAATCAGTCAGAGTGTATTTTTTTCCCTAGTCTGTTAGGGCAGGGTTTGAGTTTTTCTGAGAAGGTTATTACGAAATCTTGGACCAAGAAAAGAAGCTGCAGGGCCTCTGTGCTTCTGGTAGGATAAATCTGGGGGAGTGATGATGCTTGATGATGGCTAGAGAGAGGAGGGTGTGAAATAAGGATTAACATTGTCAGAGCTATTTTATCACAGTGAATATGAATGACTTTAATTTTATGATAGATTCAGCTATAACCAAATTAGAAAATACCTTTTCCTCAAGGAAATCTGCTTGTGTCAAGTTAAAAGCAATGGTGTGACCATCACTACCTTTTTTGTCTAGTTAGCTTTTGTCCCTTATAAGAGGCCCTTGCAGAATTGAGAGAAATCAATAATGTAAAACCGAATTCTGCTTGTTCTTATCTTATTCATAAAATGTAGTTCCCTTAAAATTAAGGTGATCTGTTCACCAGGCTTTTCAGCCCCCTTAGAGCCCGATTCCTTCTGAGGAGAAACAATGCCGATCTTGAGTGTGCAGGAAATTATTTTGTATGACCAGAATGAAAGAGCAGCTTGTGCCTTTCACTAGGAGAACTGATAACATCTGTGATTTTACTGTACCCGAGATGACATATCGCCTCCCTTCTCCTGCCCCCTACCCCAGAATCATACTTAGCTAGTTCCGAGGGTGATCGTTCTCCAGTATGACTTTCCAAACTCAGTTATCTCTGACTAAACAATTTAAAGCCATGTTTAAACTTAATTTCATTCTGTCCCACTGGGAGGACTACAGAGAAAGATGGCTGAACAAGGAATTCTGAGAAATCCATTTGGTTATGCAGCTGATGAATGATGTGATATTGACAGCAGATACCTTTCAAAGAGCTTGTCTGAACATGGGTATGCCAGCAGGAATCTGCATAAGAAAAACCCTGAAGATCTCAGAAAAAATGAAGAGGAAATTGTATTTAAATAATGGCAACAGATTGGAAAGGAGAAGGAATCAAAGATATCCGAGAATTTCAAGGGATGCTGTGCATGTCCCATTAGCAGCAGGGAGGGCAGCAGGCTTTGCTGTGTAAGGGCACCTAGAAAATAGTTTTAAGCACAGGTGAGGGTTATCCCTCTTTTACAGATAAGATAGAAGATTAAAAGTTGAGTTGTATGAAATGCTGATTGCAGTTTGTTTTGAACACCACAGAAAAAGGTGTGTAATTCAGCATGTCCTGGACATAAGCAGGCAGGTAAGTATCTGGTGAAAAACACTCCTTACAAAGTATCAAAACGTAAGGTAAAATGAAAGAGATGCTGGAACTTTTGTCACGCAAGGTGGGTCCTTACATCAGTGACCACAGCTCAGCAGTGGTTCACCTTTGAATTAGGTAACTCGTGCTTGTTGGCAAATAATTTAGCAAAGGTAAAAAGTCAGAGTATTTTTCATGTTTTTTGACCTGAGTCTGTTTTAAACTGTGAGGCTTCCCTTATAATTAGCACAGTAACTGTGATGTCTGGGGAGAGTGGTGGTTAAAGCAACTTAAGACTGCATAGGCTGCAACACTGTGTTGAGTCCTAGCCAGATGTGGATCTCTGAGCTATGAAGGCATTAGAGGTGTAATGCAGTTTCAGTGATAAAAGTCTGTGAGTGGATGCCTGATAATTGGCTCACTACCTAATAAATAATAGAAGAGTTTAAAGATCACTGTTATATTTGAGGAACCATTATGAAAAGCACCCTTAATTTAGATAGGTTTCTGAACTTCAAGAAGTACAGTTTGTATTTGTTATCTTGCAAATTGCCAGTAGGTGCTAGAAAAATGTATTTCCTGTCAGGCTGAGAGAGCTCCACTTGCTCAGCCTGGAGAAGAGAAGGCTCAGGGGAGACCTTACGGCAGCTTCCAGTGCCTAAAGCAAGCCTAAAGAAAGCTGAAGAGGGACTTTTACAAGGACATGTAGTGACAGAACAAGGGGGAATGGCTTTAAACTGACAGAGGGGAGATTGAGATTAGACATTAGGAAAAAATTCTTTACTATGAGACGGTGAGACACTGGCATAGGTTGCCCAGAGGAGCTGTGGTTGCGCCATCCCTGACAGTGTTTAAGGCCAGGTTAGATGGGGCTTGGAGTAACCTGATCTAATGGAAGGTATCCCTGTCCGTGGCAGGGGGTTTGGAAGTAGATGATCTTTAAGGTCTCTTCCAATCCAAACCATTCTGTGATTCTGCAATTTAGGAGGTATCACCATAAAATTCTGTGCTATAGACAGTAGCAAGGTGATCAATCTGTGCAAGACTTCCAATTAGATTACCTGAAAGGCTGGGTTGGACAGAGCCTTGGGTGACATGGTTTAATGTGAGGTGTCCCTGCCCATGGCAAAGGGGTTGGAAGTTGATTATCTTAAGGTCCTTTCCAGCCCTAACTATTCTATGATTCTGTAATTCTATGAAACCTTGTTTTAGTGTTGTTGCCTTGATCCTGACCTGGTTAAAACTCTTTAGGGAAATACTAGTCCCATACTCTCAGCTCATTAGGTTTATATGAATTAAAAGTATGGCAGAGTTTTGATGAAGTCAGATATCCATGGAAGTCTCTGGTGAGTTTTTTTTTCATAATATAAGATGGTGGCCTGGAAAAGTTAGCCTTTAAGGATTTTCTGTGTGATTACTTTTTCAGAATGAAAGAATGGAAGAATTTTCCCTGAACACCACAATGTTATGCCTTTTCCTGATGCCAGTGGCTTTGAGTAGGGGCCCTGATCTTCCAAACACTTGGATTTTTCTTATGAAAACCTGTCAAGCATACAGTCAGATAGCCTGCCAACAGCTGTGTGGCAGTCAGTGGGACTTTGCAAAATTGGGCTCTGCTCATTCAAAAACTGAAGCAATCCAGCATAGCAGTCAGTGAAGTGTAAAACTGAGCAGTAGGTACAGGAAAGGCCAGTGGAATGCAGACACCACAAGAAATACATGGATTTGCCATGTGAACTCAATTTCCAGACACAAGGTGTGAATCTGTGATATTTGGCAGCCTTGTATTTTCAGCAGATGGCCAAGCATCCTACACGTCCCCACGAAATAAAATTGTGAACGCTTTTGTTTAATATTTTTGTCTGCGCAGATGCTTAAAATACTCCCTGAGGATGGAATATATACTCTTTGTTTTTACTAATTCTGTTTGATTTCTTTAGACTGAGGCATACATTTTTTGGTCAATTTAACAAACAATTCTGATTTTCTGTAGGGATGGCTGGAGAGCACCCACTCCAGTTTCAAACAGAAGAGAATCTTAAAGCTTCAGAGATCAGAACATCTTCATTGAGATGAGAATCTTAAAGCTTCAGAGATCAGGGCATCTTCATTGACAAGTCAGAGCTTCCTCTAACAGAGGGATATAAATCTGTGCTATAAGGAGTCAAAGAAGGAAAAACATTTTACTATTATGTGGCTGTAACATTTACAATGACCATCTGTATAAATAGAGTAACTGTATAACTTTTGTGATGAAACTCTATTTGGCCATTTCCTTTTTTGATGGAAAATTATTCCATTGCTCGATTTCTTTGTGTCTATCTACATATGAAATGTTAAGGTAGAAATATCCAGGTTTCCTATTCTCTGTTTCAGAATAAGCTACTGTAATGTGAAACTGGAAGGAACAGGCCCATAATTGCACAGCATATTAAATGACTGTTTTATTTCTCTCTACACATGTTAGCTATAAATAAAAGTCCCTGAAAATCTGCCTGAAAGTTTTAAATCAGAGAAATATTGGATCTTTGTGTATCCACAGTAGTCCAACTAAGTTGGTAGACACTGGCTTGGCTCCCAGACCTAAGCTCCTGGGGCTCTCTGGCAACAGCACTAAGCCATAAACACCAGATGCAGTATATCTAACGAAAATAAATATTAGCAGTTTCTTACAGTTGGCATTTCAGAAACAGAGTTGATTTAAATGGTGCCAGTGGTTTATCTTTGCACCTGAATCACAATTGCTGTATTTCTGAATGTGTTGCTGTGGAATCTCATGAATGCTATTTTCCCTGGCACGCCTGTGCTGCTGTCCCTTATGTAGCCGTAAGTGTGCAAGCAGCAGAAATCACTCTCTTCTGTGCTTGCCCTTCAATACCTGTCCAGTGCTTTACCAGAGTGCTGTAAAACATGTAAAAAGCGCTGATGAGCTGAGCTATGTGCAGGCAAGCAGAATGCAGGCTTGCTTTTTCCTCCTGTCTTCAGAATGAAGTGACAGATTGGGAGTTTTAACAAATTACAAATGCCATGAAGGCTCTAATGTGTGTATTTGAAAGGATGATGTTATTAGCTGTGACAGTGTCTGCCAGAGTAATTTCACAGCTGTGCTCCTGGCTTGCAGTACCCCAGGACAATCTTTTCTTATTGTCACTTGTACTTGTCCCTGGTGTTCATTTAACACCTACAGGATATTTGTTTCTGGTAAACAATTATTGTTGCTGATGAGACTTAGCTCAGGCCCTTGTGTCAGATAATACTTACGCTGCAGTCATTCTATGCATGAAGTATATATGGGCTATCTTAGTCTTAAGCATAAAGACAGCAGCAAAAAAAAACCCACCTCCCAGAAAAAATCCCTAAACCCCAAAGGACTATTACTTGCTCCTGTGGATTGAGTTTCTTCTTCTTGTACTTGGCATTTAGTTAGAGCTGCTCCCTAGCTTGTTTTATTTTATTGATTTGTAGTTTTGTCAAGCATGTTGGGAAACTCAAAGCTGGCATGGCTATTAAACAAGTTTTAGAATCATAGAATAGTTAGGGTTGGAAAGGACCTTACGATCATCCAGTTCCAACCCCCCTGCTGTGGGCAGGGACACCCTACGCTAAATCATATCACCCAAGGCCTTGTCCAACCTGGTCTTGAACACTGCCAGGGATGGAGCATTCACAACCTCCCTGGGCAACCCATTCCAGTGCCTCACCACCCTAACAGGAAAGAATTTCCTTCTTATATCCAATCTAAACTTCCCCTGTTTAAGTTTTAACCCGTTACCTCTTGTCCTGTCACTATAGTCCCTAACGAAGAGTCCCTCCCCAGCATCCTTATAGGCCCCCTTCAGATACTGGAAGGCTGCTATGAGCTCTCCACGCAGCCTTCTCTTCTCCAGGCTGAACAGCCCCAACTTTCTCATCCTGTCTTCATACGGGAGGTGCTCCAGTCCCCTGATCATCCTCGTGGCCCTTCTCTGGGCTTGTTCCAGCAGTTCCATGTCCTTTTTCTGTTGAGGACACCAGAACTGCACACAATACTCCAAGTGAGGTCTCACAAGAGCAGAGACTTTGTGGCTATTAAACAAGCTTTGCAGTTTGTGTTGCAAAAGTACTCAAGATTTTTGTGACACACAAGGAGATTACTGTGAGTAGATGGATTTTGAGCCAGATTTTTACTTCTGTGAATGTCATTGACATTCTCTTAAAGGACTCTACATGACCTGGCCAATGATGAAAGGGCTCCTGCTTCCAAAAGGTGGCTCTGGAACAGACAGTGAACACCATGTTATAACACTGTAAACAGGCTGAGTACCTTTTTTCAGCAAAGTTATGTTTTTCATATGCTTCCAGACTTTGTTGGGGATAAACTCTGCCCCAGTCACACCTGCAAGTCTGGGCAGCACTTGAGAATTGTTCTTTCAGGAGATAAGCAGGGAGGTGGTGGGGACTGTCAGTAACTCTCAGCAAATAGTGTTTTGACCAGTGTGTGTTTGGAATAGCTGAAGTGTTCTCTATGTGCAGAAGTGCACAGGGAGAATTCTGCTTTGGCTCTAGAGTCACTTTGCAGACCCCTCGCAGTTTGCGGGGAGTATTTGTAGGAGGATTTTTATGGCAGAGGAACTGATGGCTTCAGCCTTGGTCTCATCCTTGCTTGCATAGATAGGTGAGGTGGTCTTTTGTGCAGTAATTTTAGCTGTCTAAATATTACTTGTTCAATCCAGACTAGTTGGAGAGGCTTCACCTCTATGGTGGGTTCCCCCAGAAGGCTATTCATGGGAAGGAGCAGCATGCTTGCTTACACGTTTCTGTCCTTCTCTACTGAGTACTAGTAGGGTGTAGTTGTTTTGCTATATCAAGATGTCCAGCCCTTTGAGAACTGAACACTTCACAGAGATCTAGGCTCTCCCACAGGTTGTTTTGTGGATCTAAGCTCCCCCAGAGGGTAGGGCTGTTTGTGCTCCCTGGGCATCACACCAGATACGTTATCTGTAGTCTGTATAACTTGCAAAATGCTTCCTGGGATGTGGGCCCTGACTGTGCCAGTGCTTTGTCTTTTTATTGCAGAATCCAAAGATGGCACAGTATTAAAAAAAATACCTCCAAGGTGGCCTGCATCATAGACCCACGCAAAGGCAGCATTTGTTTTGTTATTGTACGCTGCTGACAGTTCCCTGTAATAGCTGTTTTGTACATCCTTTGCGACTAGCTCAAGCCCAAACCCAGAGTGAGTGATGGAGGATAACATTAGTAATGTGGTCATTTAGGGAAAAAAAAAGCCACAAGGCAGAGATGACTGTTGTTTAGTTAAGAAACTAATCACAGGGTTAGGGCTTGTATTTTTAGTTTCTGAATTCCTATTTGGAGAGTTACATAAATGTCTGATTTCAAAAATGCAAGTATGTGGAATCTTCAGTGCAACGTAAATGGGGCAACAGCAGCACCCTAAACTGAGGTCAGATATCTGTGTTCTCCAATATGCATTTGGGTGCCTAAATTTGGATTTCTAAACACAAGCAATTTTCCCCTCTCTGCTTTGAAGTTTTGCTGAATGTAAAGTGTTATCTGGTCAGAATCTATGTTTTCTTTATCCCTTCTTCATATCCAGGCCAACACTTCCTCCTCGTGAGAGTAAAGGATTGTGAGAATGAGTGGAAATCCCACAAGTCTCACTGCAGGCATAGAACATTCAGGCATAGAAGCAGAGTTCTGGTTCAGGGTCTTTACCTTCAAACATCATGGGTTATGCTTTTGGGATGTTAGTGCGACGCCACTGCAACCTATGATACCTCTCTTGAGATGTAGATTTGGCTCCATAGTTATTTTTGTTCCATAATCTGTTAGCTGTGTTTCCAGACAAAGCAAACTCAGCTCAAGTTCTCATCAAGTAGCGAGAAGAAAGAGTGTAGTGACTCTCCAAAGTCCCAAAGAGCACTTAATTCTTTATTACATTTTCAGTCACTAAAGGCAGGAGTTTCTTATTTGTAGGTACACATTGGGTACTTGCGCCATTGTACTTCAGACTCAGCTGTGGCACTAGTAGCCATCATAATATGAATATTCATTTTGAACTCTCCAGACTGTTGTCTTTGAAATGTAAAATTTCTGTCATTTGAAATGTTTTTTTTTTCATGGAACTGGAATCTATGAAGTGGTACTTAACACTGGAGAAAGTCTACAGGGATTTTTACTATAAAGTCAAGGAATTCCTTTCATGTGTGCTTCGTTGTTCCCATTCATGGTGGAGGAGGCAGGATGGAAGGATCAAATCCAGCTTGCTTGTCCTCTCCATGAAATGCTTTATTATGGGATTCAGTTAAGACCAGTTTTTTTCCCTCAGACTGTCTACAAGGTCTTGCCTGCCTTTATGAATTTGCAGCTGCAGGATTTATTACAACAGTATTTTAAAACACTTAGTGCTGGTGCATCTCTAAGTAGATGTGTACGGAATTCACTGTGCAGGTGGAGTGTTGTTTTTAAACTGCAGTGTCTGCATCAAGAGGCAAATACAGACTGTGTTGATACATGTGTAAAGGACAACTGGAGGTATCCATGAGAAAAGTAAAGCCTGCTGTGAGGTGCCACTGTACTGTGTTTTCTTTCTTTGATGTGAATAGCACAGCTTATGACAATTTTTGCTTCTGTAGCATTACTGAGTTGAAGTGGTTTAGTTGACAGGAAAGACCTGTGCTGAGATGCCGTAGGCTTTGTGTCACAGTGTGACGTGGTCAGTAAGAAGTAATTGAAATGAAAGGTGGAAATCAGCTAGTTGGTTTCTATTCGGCTAGTACTTCTGCTTGCAGAATGTCATGAATAACCACTAGGTCTTGTCTGATGTAACCTGGCACATCTGTTGAGTTCCTTAAATTCTTCATGTAAATCAGTAA